TTTTTAAAACCTACAACTTTCTCATTTAAAATTTTTCAATCCGTGCTATTTTTTTTTAGTTATTTTAGAAAAACCTTTTTTTTCAACTTTGCGATTTTTTTTAACCATGTTCGCCATATTGGATCGAGTTTAAAGAACAAGAAACTCAATTTAAAATTTAATTTCCTATACGGTCATATTTTTTTTGTCCAGGTAATAATTTCTGTAAGCATTTCTCTATAATGCTTGGACTAATAGTAATACAGTTACGTGACCCATCTTGTACTTAATTTTCTCTAAAAGTTGTACTTTGCTGTGCAAATTGTGCGCATATTGCAAAATAATTGGAAATATGCGAAAAATCTACAGAAAGTTTGAATTCTTTTTTTGGGTCAAACAAAGAAGTCAAGGTTTTGGTAGATTTTTCGCATATTTCCAATTATTTTGCAATATGTGCACAATTTGTACAGGAAAGTACAACTCTTAGAGAAAATTTTAAGCCAAAGATAGGTCACTTAAGTGCATAATTGTAATATTTATTGAAACTTTTCTGTTGTTTTTGTTTTCAAAAAACTCAATTTCTATAAAAACTATCAAATATTTTGCACTTTTACAAAAATGCACTTATTCTACTTACCCAGTACTACATATCTTTTTTCGACTTAAAGATATAGAAGTATTAAAAAAATGCGATTTTAATCTTTTTTTGCAATAACTAACATTGGGCTGGGCTCAAAATTTTTGTTATAAAAAATTCTATAACTTTTGTTGAAAACATGTATTTCTGAAATGTTTAGTTTTTTTTTTTAAAGAAAGAAAACTGTTGCGTTAACATTTAGCCGAGATAAAGTTCATTCAATTCTACGGAAATGTCCCTAATTTTTACATGTCTGTGTTTACTGAGCTAAAGGAGGAGGGCCCCTAAGGTTGGTTTTGGCCTAATTTATTTCTGGCTGAAAAAATCTTTAAAATTTTTTTTAGTACCTACAAGCAATACTGAATCGTTTCCACCCTAAACGGACCAACCCCCTCACCCTCCTTACCCCCTCCACCCCCTTAAATGAGATGACACACATTTACATTGAATAAAACGAAAAAGAAAAAATCAATAATAATTATCCATACATGTTTGTGCATATTTGATTAGCTACTTTGAATTTCGTGATTCTGAATTCATAATTGTAATCAGTGATCCAAGAAAGTTTCTATAAATAAATATTTGAGGATTACGAAGATCTTTTTAATTTTTTTGTCCGCCATAAGGAATACATATGCCTTCAGATTCGTAATTGGAGACCCAAAAAACCCCACTACACAAAAATTCATGCATTTTAAAGACAATTTAATTTTTCTGTCCGCCATATTGAATCCGCCATTTTGAATTTTGTGATTTAGAGTCCAGATTCGTAATCATAGACCCAAAAAACCCCGTTACAAAAAAATTCATGCATTTTGAAGACATTTCAATTTTCTTGGCCGCCATGTTGGATCCGCCATTTTGAATTTCGTGATTCTGAGACCAGATTCGTGATCAGCGACCCAAAAAACTCTTCATATTTAAGATTCATAGGCATTGAATGTCTTTCGCATCTCTAAGCTCTTTAAAAATTCCACTAATAAGCGATGGTTTCCCCGGCATTTAAAGGGGGTGGAGGAGGAAAGGAGAGTGAGGGAGTTGAGTTGGTCCGTTTAGACTGTAAACTATTCAGTATTGCTAGTAGGTACTAAAAAAAATTTTTCCTTTTGGCATGTCTATTGACAATTGTTTTTTTACATCCTTGACTTGCCGTTTTGCATCCTTGTTGTTCCTTGTTTCTGGTGTTATTCTCTGATGTTAGTAAATTTTATTTGTTATCGAGGCTGTGACGGTTTTATACGGGGTGTCTCTAAAATGTCTGGACGAAATCCTACCACATATTCGCGATGCCCAAATATGAAGTTACAATTTTATGTTAGTTTTTCTTCAATAACCGCATTCATAGTTGTAGTAAATATTTAGAACTTGGTATAGGGGAGTTTTCTGGCCGGGGAAATTGAAATTTGGTCTTGAATTGCTGTAAATTATTAGATGGCGACAATACGGTAATTTACATGCATTTAAATTGTCACAACTTTTTTGTACCATGGTACGTGTATTGAATTATTTGTAAAAAATGAACAAAATAACCGTTTTTTGGATATCTGGATTTAAAGGTTTAGGTAATTACATCTTCCTTCATATTTTTTAT